GATGTACAGCTTGATATACATTGTGGACATAGTTCATCTTTATTCCCAATGAAGCCTTTCAGAAGGGTGCTGAGAGCTGTGCCGCACCACCTTCCAGGTGCTGGTGACCAGGTTGTGTAGAAGCTAATCATAGCTCATGAAATCTCAGGATGTTCTAATTCTCAGTGAGCCAGCTGATGTTGCATCAGATGACACAGGAGGGCAGCACTGGACACAGCAAACGTCTTGGGGATAGTTGCTCGTTTTGTCTGACTGCTGAACAATTCCCATCAGCCTACTTAGATCCATAATCTGTTACGTCTGTAGACTACATCTAGAGTCTGCCTGAAACTTGAAAAAAGTTCTTTCTGTAGTTTCTTGCAGTGGTGTGAATATGCGGTTTTACATAAATTATGAGTGACTTCAGTTTCAGTGTCTTGAAAACTTTTTATAATATCTGATGTCGTCCTTTTTTTTTTTTTAAATAGAGAAGCTGCTTTCAAAGCTTTAAAAACCGCAGTCCGGGTATGTAGCAGTGCTCCTTGCTGGCTATGCTTATTTTGCAGTTTGTTTTTGTTTCAGCTGCCACCTCTTGGGTGATTCAGCAGTCTGAGAGTGGGTTTCCTGAAGCAGGCATTTCTTTTGTGGATGCTTTTGTTATGCAAGCACAGCATTAGCCCTCCTTTTGCAATTCCATTGAAAGCAGCATAATATAACTTAGTCATATGGCTCATACAAAAGGGGCTTTGCCATTGCCTTGTCTCCCAATGGGCTAGACAGAGGTAGGTTCTTGACAGCAGCAGCCCTGTGTAAGCAGGGGAGGAAGTGGTCCTGGTGCTCAGAGCAGGGGATGGCTGGGGAAGCAGCCTCTTTTTTTTTTCTTTTTCTTTTCTTTGTGTGGTTCCAGGGAACATGGCCTCCTCAGTGTTTCCAAAAGGAACAGCACTTTCCCATCCACTTACAGAGGAACCTACCTCATTTTTTGTTTTGTCTGAGTTACCGTTTTAAAGGTGCTGTATGTTGGGAAAGCTGCTGTGGATGCCCGCATCAGCCATACAGACTGGCGTGGAAGATCATCGCACTAACACGCGAGCTGCTTTGCTGAAACTTCACTAGCCAAGTTTAATAAACCCTCTGTTCCAGCGTTTCGTATAAATGAGATTCAAGTGCACTTTGTGTGCATTAAATACTTTAAATATTCTGGGTGGGGGCCCTTTTCAGAAGGGCTGTGGGCCAGGAGGTTCTGCCCCTTAGTCTTGTTCCCCGCTTCGCAGCAGCAGTGACAACGTCTAGATTTTTGTGTGCATTTTCCTGCTCCCCACCATCGCCAAGGCGCACAAGTTTTAGCGTGCACGGAGGTTGTTGTCTGCTGGTGGGGGGAGTACTGGATTGCAGACTGAATCACAAGTAGCCGATACCTTTTGCTATATTATGTCATATTATAATTAAACCTTTTAAGAACATTTCCATTGAGCTTGTGTCAGTCAGCCGTTGTGATATGACAGTGCTGGAGCTGCCAAACCCTCTCTGAAACAAACCTTTTCTCTTAAGAGTTGCAGCATAGATTCTTTTCACAGTCTCTTGCTTGCTCTCAAGATAAGAGGCTGCTCTTTAGAACTGTGTTACCTTAGGAACCAGCCAGATAAACATCCAATAAAATCTTGTTTTCAGGAGTTTGTTTCTGAATATCAGCACAAAATCTCTAGCTTATTTTCAGTAAGGCTGTTCCCCCTCCTCCCTTCTCCCAACATTCACTTCCAGACAATAGCATTTCTTCCAAAAGAGAGATGGCTGTGTCAGGCAGTTGATTTTTTTTCCTCCCCACAGGAAATACATTGCCTTCATTTTAGCCCTTAGGAGAATTGCATTTCTTCAACATACCTTCTATAAGTCACGATGCTATATGATAAGACATACGGTACTCTCTAATTTATCATACTCTTGGTAAACAAAACTTGTGAACCTTTGTAGCAAGGTAACCTGGCTATCGCAACAATCTTTTGAAGAGTGAAAAATAAAAGTCCTACAGTATGTTGCCTACCCACAACAACACTGTAACTGTTTTTCCCTACTGAATAAAAACTTCTGTTTTAATAATAAAATCAAGCTGTTCCTGAGATAGCCAAGTACAGTAAATAAATAAATAAATAATTTCTAGAAGGTACTTAATATTTAAACCTGTTAAATTCCTTTTTTTTTTTTTTCCTTAACATGGTGGAACTATTGCTATTGAAAGACTTTTTCCCTACTAGATCCTTGATGGTGATCTGTGCATCTATAATCGCAAGCCAAATTCAGGAGCAGGCGGCAGGGCTTCTGCGCCAGCACAGAGGTGCTTAGGGAAGCAGCAAGCGACGAGCCCAGAGCTCCACATACCTGCAGTTCAGAAGGGTTTTCCCACCAGAGCTCTGGGAGGCGCTCAAAGTTCTTTGAGAATTTGCCCGTTTTTACATAATGTTATATAATGCTGCCTGCTAAAGGCCGATGCACTCTTACTAGGTGATAGAGGTGTGGAGTCTGTGTAGCATGAGAAATAAGCATGCCATGATGTGGATCTGGATATTGTATTTCATGCACCGTTCCTTTATCTGCACACCTTTCGTCCCTTTTCTCCCTCTTCCAAGCCTCAAAGCGAAACGGACTGTTGCTTTCGGAGTGTCCTTCGGAAAGGCGGCTTTCCCGGCTCAGAGGTCATCTTCTGCACCGTGTTCCAAGTTGTGTTTTGACAACAGTAATTCTGTGTCTTGCAGATGTACAGTGTTTGTTGTGGTAGAGCTGATCATATACGTTGCAATGGCTAATAAATACAATGCATGTTTTAGTGGAATATTTAATCCGTAAAGTTTTCAGTATTTATTTGTTGAAAGCCAAAAAATCCCAAATCTGAGCTCTACACTAGAGAAGACATTTTGAACCATGATTGATTTGAATTAGCTGCATTTTAATATTATTTTGGCATTATATTCAGAATATCTTTTTTTTTTGCATTTTCTATAGTTTTTACAGGTTTTAGAAACAGCCTGACACCAGTCAAAATAAATAAACAAAAGCACAGGGAAGTTAATCTCTTTAAATGTCAGGACTGTTTTAAGTATAGTAGTTTAATCTATGTAAGAAGGATACATTTTTAAATTCTTTGTATGTTTTTTGTTGTTTTGGGTTTTCTGAGGGGAAGAAAAAGTCTTAAGAAGATTACTTAATTTATTGAATTAATTTATTGAATTAAAATTAATTAAACACATATAGAATATGTGCAGAATGAAGGAGAAATAGTCCAGTCGAGCATTATGCATGCGACTGCAACTTTTTTATCCTCAGTATTCTTCAGTACTTAGGATAGAGAGCAAGCTGGTATTCACTTTTTGGATTTTGTTTTGTTCTCATCTGAAGTCAGTTTCCATCTGAAGGTTTTTGTCTTACTTAAGGAAATTTTTTCAAATATGGGAAGAAAATGAGAATTTCGAGCAAAAGGAAAGAAAACCCCTCAGAAAACACAAAAACAAAAAACTTAGGTCCTTGTATTAGAAGATGTAAATAATTTTGTAGTGAAAGAGTCTAAACTGGCTAAGCAGTCCAGATGTCCACCTCCCAAAGTTAAGCACTGAAATGTGGTTCTATTCAGCACAAACTGCTTTTTGTTCAGTTTGCTACATATGACTATATCCTTTATTTGGTAAATCTGTTAGTTTTAAAAGCAGAGCATGTTTTGATAAATCCATTTAGTTATGATTCCAGCACATTTAAGTTTCATTTTATTAGTGGAATTGACTTTAAAATACTGTTTTTCTACATTTTGAATTCCAGTTTTCATCCAAATGCAGCCTGACACAAATCCAAAGTAAAAATATTGTCTTGTTAAAAAAGGAATGTACCGTTCACCATTTTATTATGTACTAAATTTTAAAATTAAAAGTCAAAATAAATGTCTGCAGAACTATGTAATGGCTAAAATGATTGTAAGACGCAGTGGCTATCAAAATTAGTTTGGAGAATTTGTATTTGTTTGTAAACTAAGTGATATGAACAAACAATAACAATTCATTCCTTTAAAAAGTAATTAAACAGCCCAGTGCAAGGAAAGATGAAAATCAGCTATATATATTTCTAGGTTTTGGTGGTACTTTGCAGGTTTTCCAAAGCCCAATCTTGGAATAAGTCAAATTGATAAATGTTTTGGTGGAAAGTTGATACTTCAGATTGATGATTCATCTGTTAAGAGTTTTAATTCTGTTTCTGTTTGGTAACTGCTTGAAGTTCAGCTCCTTTATTCCAAGATGGGTTGATATTAAATGTTTGAATTATTTGCTGTTTTGCCTGTGCAGTGAAAGCAAACCATCACATGTTGGGACATTTTAATTCTTTAAGATGTAGCATTAGGAATATTGCTGGTGTCAGTAAGGACTTTGTGTACATTTTTCAATAATTGGTGAAAGATTTACTTCTGGATACTATATATTCTTCTCTTGTAGCAGCTACAGGTTCACACATTAATTTAATATGCATTTAATTGGTGCATTCATGAGAGCAACCACTGAGGCAATATCTACGCAGTATGTGAATCAGGTCTCACTCCAGAGCCAATGCCGTGATCCCAATGTAGTACTAGCTTCAGCCTCTTTCTAAATTCTCCTGTCTTACATACCTTAGTACAGCAGCAAGAAGATTTTTAAATAGATTCGTCAAAACTTGTAAAAGCAAAGTGGCAGCTCAAATAATAGCCTGCGAGGTGCAGTTTCATTGTATCTGTCTTTATTAGATAAGGAATGTGGAATTTTGTCTTTTTGCAAGTTGTGTCATACATTTCAGGTAAGTAGTCTTAGCCTAGGATGTAAGGCATGTAGGAGAAACACTCACAAGAAGGGAATGTAGAAACATATGATGGCCATGTCTAGAAAATCAGCTCAACAATGCGTTTGCTTTTTAGTTTAAGGGTCTAACCAGTTACAAGGATTTGCACATTTGGGTATGAAATGGAAGTTTATTTACCCTGCTGATTCTGTCTTGAAAATATTTCCCCTTAGCCCTGGTCAAAGTCGCTCATCGATGGTCTCGTGGATGAACACTCCATCTCCTAGCACAGCTGCTACAAATACTGCACCTTCTTTCTCCTTCCTTAACCCTGCCACAGCGAGTGACAGAGCAGTGGAAAGGTATGATAAGCACTTCAACTTTTGTTGGTTCTTTATTTGACTCTCATTTTTTTTTCCCCCGAGTTTCTTAATAGCTAATATATGTCTTCTGCAATATGTAAATTATTATCTCAACTCCAGAAATGCAACCTCCTTGCAATTTCTGTGGCTACAAAATAACAGGACTGATTTTTTATTTCATCAACATCTTAGAAGGCACTGATTGAGTCAGTGGCTTGTTGGTTGGTACAAGCAATGCAGACTTGGCTCTCTGCTGCAGTGATTTTTCATTATTTACTATATTGTATACAGTGCCTTTTAAAATAGTTTCTTTCTTTTTCTTAGTCATCCATTGCAAATTCAAGTTTCTCATCCTAGCCTTTTTGCCTCTGACATACTTTCCCGTGACTTTACCTCTATCTGTGATTTCATTATTTTCTTTCACTTTTTCAGCCTGCTTTTCTTCTGTTCTGCTGTTCCTGCTTCACTCCATGTTTTTGATCTGCCTTTTGAAGTGTCTTCACTTTTTCTTCCTTTGGAGATCTTCACCATCTTAGCTTTTTCCTATAACTTATGTAATACTTGCTTTGCAAAATAAAGTTGTTGGGTATATTTATAAATCCTTCCCAACACTTAATGAGAAATGAAATTTTGGTACTACCAGTCACATTCTGTACTGGAATTACATTGTTTGACTGTAAGATCCTTGGGGCAGGGAAAATCTTTCCCAATATTTTATGTGTAATTCTTGTTGCAAAGACTCAACAAAAGACAAATTAATAGAGTGGGAGCTTTGTCTAAACAAAGCATCGTAGGACAGCAGCAGACTGTCAGTTTGCAAAGGCACAATTAAATAGGATGTGCCAAAAGTATTTATACATATCCCAAGATTTCTGCTTATGGCACTTGAAGAGGTGAGTACTTTGGACAAATTCACATTTGTAGTTTATTGCTGCCCATCTTAAGCACACCTCAAAAAGACTACCCAAAGTTTTATAAACCTTGCTGTGTTTAGGACAAAATATCATCTTCAGAGCTCCAGTGATGTTGTATTGTAAACAAATATAAGACTAATTCAAAAGGGAATTCTCTAAAGTGATAGTGGAAACCTCAATTACAAGATTCATGAAGAAATATTTTGCAAAACATAATGAGTCTATAAATCAAATGTGGTAGGCTTTGTCTCATTTCATTGCTGATTAGCAAATTGGCAATATTTTAATTGTAGTTGAAAGTTAAGTTTATTGTAAAATCATATGTGCATAACGTTTGGGAATATGATACTTGGAAATGCCAACAGCAAGCTGTGAAGCTTCAGCTTTTTGTTCATGTGTATGAATTAGAAGCCTGTAATAATGTCTATGAGACTGTGTTTAAAGTTTTAAAATAATCTCCAAATGGGGTTGAAAGTGGAAAGTGTCTTCATTAATAGTTGAAAGTAACAGTATTTCATTATTTCATTTTTCAGTGTTGTCTGCCGAAAAGCAGTAGCAGTTTATCCATGTGAAGCAGAACATAGCTCTGAATTATCATTTCAGATAGGAGCAATTTTTGAAGATGGTAAGTACTGCTTATGTAAATATAAAGCAATGAAAACAAACTGAGAAAACTCCTAAAATGGCTTCAGATAAAAATACAAGCCTAACTGCTATTCTGCCAAGATTGCTGACGGCAAATACTCTGTGACGTAGACGGTTTCTGGTACCTACATATAGAAGCTGCTTACTGTATACTAAGGCACCATGAGACAATGTCCTTGATTCAGATGTGTAGACACTTTCAAATGGTCTGATTTTTCAAGAGTGCTTAAATATGTGTTGCAGTACAAAAAGGCGAATTTTGGCAATAGAGACATCTTGGCCTATGAAACTAATTTTTAATGTGATCTATCTGTGTAAAATTCCACGTGGGCTTTAATTTAAAGAAAAGCAAATCTGTTTAAGGACTTTCACACGAGCAGAATTTCAGGTAGACAGGTTAATGGGCAACGAGAGGAAAGAGAGCATTTGTTCCTTTAATCAAGGGTGCCTTAATATGTGCAGGTACTTGTAGAAAGGGGAATATTTATTAAGGTGCAAAAATGAGAGCAGAAATCATAGCAGGAGCAGTCCTTAAGACATTTGTCTGTTACAAGGCCTTGATTTAAAAAAAAAAAATCAGAAAACATTTCATTTCAGCAAAGTCCTCACCCAAGCTTTGTGCAGACTGAAGGATTCAAAGTGATCTGGGAATAACATCTTCAAGAACCTCATGAGCACTGAGACCAGTATTTTAGTCCCTCTGTCTCTATAGTGGCAGGGGAGTGCTAAGGGACATTCTGCTCTCTAAAGAATCTGGAAATTCTGCAGTGATGCCTGTTTCTTCTCATCCATTGCCAGCTGCTCAGCTTGCTACCAGGTCAGAAATCTGGTATATGCTTTCTGAGGGGAGAGTGCTATTTGATTCTGCATGACCAAACTTACTTACAGCGTGCACTGCAAAGTCACTCAGATACCACATGAGAGAATCTTTATTTGTATGTCTCATAGAGGAGGAGTATCACAGATTCCCAGCTTGCATCCAGAAAAAAACAAAAACAAGAAAAAACACGGTCTAAAGTAGCTATAAAAAACAACCTACAGGCATTAAAAAACTGGCTAAATATGTTTTATATTTCTACAAATGTTTCTCATTTAAAAAAAAAAATCTTTTCATCCTCCCCCCCCAGCCCCCAACCAAATGTTCCTAATTTTTTTTTTTTTTTTACAACATGCAAAGATCACGCAGACATGCACATCCCTTTCCCCTTCTTTGTGATACTTAATTTAAAACAGAGCTATCATATATTCTACATCAGAGATGTGATAGTGTGTCTGCCTCCTCCCAGAGAGATAAGCAGCAAGTCTGCAGTCCTGCCTTTTCTGCAGTCTGAGGTGATCTAGGGTCCCCAGTGGGTTCCTCCCTACCCTCACCCACCTTACAAAATCCTGCTTGGTGTTTCCTGTCAGAGAACTGCCTGACAGGCAAATCACGTCTGAATCAAGTTAGGTGGGAAACCTTTTAAAGATAAATTAGCTAAATGATTGCTCCTTTTAAAGTTTCTAACACAGGTTATTTTAATTTAAGTTTTTTAAAACATGACTGATAGGGATCTTCAGCAGACAGAGAATTGTGCGCAGGAAAAATCTGGTGCAAGGAGGTAGATGTGGGGGTGCAAGATGGGCTTTTGTAGTACAGAGCACCAAGGGTTGCCGTCCTGGTGCTTTGGAACTGGAGAAGGAGGAGCTGCTTCTCTGTTGTGCATTTGCGTGACAGCAATGTTGGTATTCTTTTTTTGCACCAAGAGATGCTAGAAGTTATGGCAAAGCTACTATAGTTTAGGTACCTTACAGCCCCCACAGGGCCTTTCAGCTAGAGGGTTGGATTGTCCTTGACTGTGTGGGCAGAAATGTCTTAACTGTGAGACTATTCTTCTGTGTCATCCTTATGCATAGATGCGGAAGCTAAGGAAAAGATTATATGGATTACATTTTGGAAACCTAATGGCATGGATCTCCAATGAGGGGAATCACATTTTCTTAAATATATTTGTGGTTTATTCCGTTGTATCCTGGTTGCTGTATAAGCGTTGTCCATATCCTGCAGAACTCTCCACCTCAGGTGCAAGGTGGGCTGTGGATTAAGAGGCAAAAGGAGGACATGCAGGTAATAAGGCAGTAGCTGGGCATGCACAATAAATCAGTGCTCATTCCATAATGATTCCTGGTTGGTGATATCATGGATAGGCTCTGCTGGTGAGGAAACGGCTCGTCATTAAAAGCCAAGGCAGTCCCTGCACCACAGCCCTCCGCGGCGCCGTCACAGAGGCCTCGCTCTCCTCCTGCGTGCGGCACCCTGCGGCTGTGCTGGAATCAGATTCCAAGGAATCAATCCAGGTTCTTTACTTACTCAATTTAAATTCCCATATGCCCTGATAAAGCCCCCAAATGAAGAATTAAAGTAATAATACATCAATTCTGCTGCTCTACCAATAACCTTAACTATCAAAGTGACAATGCATCAATCAAGTTGACACACAGCTAGTATCAACCATTAAAGTAACTGTTAAATTAATGTCTGCTAAAAAGTGCTGCTTCCATTAGGGAAGGTTTTACCCATCTCTCTCCACCCTGCCTGTCTCCCTTTTCTAATCCTGTCTCTCACCTCTTGCTGTTCCCTTGCTGTTGGTTTTTTTTTTTTTTTTCCTCTTCACTCTCTGTTCTTCTGCTTTGTTTCCTTTTCTTTTTCTTTTCCCTTCCCTGTTCATCTGCTGCTCTGTCTCTCTTGATCCGTAGGTGTTGATTATGGTAACTCTCTCCTATCACTTACTATCTTGGATGAATCTTCTGTTCTTCTGGCCTGAGACAGTATAATGACATTTAGTGAAGTACAGTCTTGCAGTTGTTACAGCTGCTAAATGTAATATTGGTAGAAGGAGGTAAGAGTTTAACCTTTACTCATATCTCCATTTCCCTTATCTAAAGGAGAAAAAATAGTGTGTCTCCAATTGATGAGGTTAGATTTACTAACATTTAGATTAGGTTTTATATAGCTTGCTAGGAATCGGAGCACTTCCCTATTCTGGTGTTTTTGGTGTTGCCTGTCCGTTGTGCTACCCCAAGTCCCACAGTCTTGCCACTGAAGTGTCACAGTCCGTAAATGCTGAGGCACTAGCTGCTGGTAAGTTATAAAGAAAAAGGTTTTCCATTTAATTAAATTGTGTAAGAAAATGAATAATGCAATCTGAACACTATCCACTGATTTTTTTTTATCGTCATTCAATTTACCTTAGGCTTTGCCAATGTTTTTATTTCCCAGTTGCTACAGGCAATGTTGTTGACATAACAATATCATTCAGGTGGTTCAAGGCAAAGCTTGAAGATTTTGCAGCTGGATAAGGGCACGTGTGGGAAGAAGAAGAGTATGAGTTGAGATTGTGCGAGACATACACTAGTTGCATATTTTTGTTGAAACCGTTATTCCCGATAATCAAGGAAAGAGTAATCGGACTGTCTGGCATTGACACCTTGCCAGCCGTGGAGCCCACTGTTATTAAATTTCTGGTTCTTGAAAGAGACTGTTTAGAAGTCAGTAAATGGGAATTTCAGGCGTTTTAGACGTGGTAAGTGGTGTTTACACAACAAAATTCTGTGTCAGTATTGCTAGCAATTCTACAAGAAGGTTTCCTGAAAACTTGTCAAGATAACTCTCATCAAAGCTGTTCACAATTTTTAAATCAAGTTTAGAGAAGAGAACCTGTGGGGAAAACTGCCAGAAGCGGTTTGTTACGTAGCTCTCCGGAGAGATGCGGCCCCCACGGTCGCTGCCCGCGCGGCAGGGCCGCAGCAGGAGCCGCGCGTCGGCGCCGCGCTCCCTTAGCCGCCCTGCCGGCTTGTGGCTGCCCTGCCCTCCTTGCTCCTGCTGCGGCTTCTGCATTGCTCTTGTGGTTTTAAGAAATGAAAATTTACATCAAAGAGTAGTGCTCCTGAAATGCTGTACTGCATTGGATGTGCAAATAATTATTTTATTGAGGTGAAAACGAGGGTGAAGCTACTTTGTACTTTTTTCACCTGCGGACTTCAAAGCACTTAGAAAGACTCATGTGCATTAATTACTTCCACTTTACAGCTGGAGAAACTGAGTGTACAGGTTGTGGACAGATGTTCTCCTTTCTAGATTCCTCCATACCATTTGGAGATAGTCACCTTGAACTACTGCTGACAGTCACAGCTTCATCAGTAAGAAGGATCAGATGAGCTCTGCCATCGCTAGAAGTTTAAAAAGCTACTGAAAGTAATTTGACCTTAACCAGTGTGACTTTGCCTGACACAGAGCAGGGAACCCTTCCTTCTGCCGGCAGCGCTGTGGAAGCTGTGGTCTCCAGAAGAGACGTGGCAATGGAAAGCTGAGTGTTTAAGTGTAAGATGATTAAATGGATGGGGTCCAGCTCAGGAGGAAGTCTCCAGATGCAGATATCTGCATGTGGGTCACTAAGAGCTGCTGTAGCCAAGGGAGTGCAGAGCAGCTCAGCTGACCAGCCGCTGGCTGCTGGTTTGGAAAGAGCCAGGTGCTACTTGGGGCTCCTTCTGCTCCTGCCTGTGCCCAGATCTCCACTGGCTCTAGAGGGAGCTCAGCCACCGCTCTCTGTAGAAGCCTCCATCTGCTAGCTGGGGTCCACCTTCACTGACCTGAAGCCTGTCTGCTCTTGTTTGCAAGTCTGAGCCCCCAGCTGCAAACTGGTCGCACAGGAAATCCTCAGAAAAGCCAGGAAGAGACCTTGACTCTAGTCCCGTGTCCAAAGAGTAACGCTGCTTCTCATGGCAAGCTTAAGGGTTCCAAAATGACTTTGGAGACAACAAGTCCTTACATCTCAAATTGCATGCTAATCCTCAACACGCTAACTTTGTGCATTTCTGCTGCTGCCCTACCCATAGGGATTGCTTCAAACACTTACAAGCATGGAAGGCTTGTAAGCACATTTTGTTGCTTTAATTTAATTTCCTGGTGAAAAATTGGCCAGCAGGATTGAGTTCTGTGAAAATGTAGTTTGGTTTTGCGGTGGGATTTCTGTTGCCCACAAAATGTAATCCTCATTCATGTAGCTTGCGGGCTCGTTACTTTGTTTGGTACAGCAGCCTGTGGGCAGCGGAGGCCCTACTCTGCCAGGCAGCATGCGTGCCAGATGGCCTCCCCCTTTCCCCTTCCTCCCAAGCCGCTGGTTTTCTTCTGCAAAGCCTGATGCAGGCCTGCAAAAGGCAATGGCAGGTAGGCAATGGAGCAACACCATTGTGGAAGCGACTCTTAGAGGAGAGAGACATAAAGATTCGGAGTTGTCAAAGCAGGACAAGCTCTGCAGCAGGGAAATCTCCAAGCACTGGGTCTCTGGGAAGAGCTTCTTGCAAATTCTACCTCTTTGCAATTAGGTAATGATAGTGTTGGCAATATGGAGGGTATAAAAAAATATGAAGAAATGCTCTTGGCTACGTTAGCTTGCAGCCAGAGCTCGCTCTGAGCACTGAGCCCGTGCTCATTTCATCGGCTTCGGAGCGATTCCTGTGGCCCTTCCAGCCCCGCGGAGGGCGGCGCTTCCTGCTCGTGCCCGTTTGCCCTGTCTGGCGTGGGGCCGCGGTGAGGACGGAGCCGCCGCGCTGCCCTTCCCACCACCCTGGCGGACCGTAGCTCCCTATTTTCCCCTCCTTGCACTGTCTTTAGCCAATGCAAGGCTTAGGCCTGTGGAATGTTTGGTCCATTTGGTAGTAGTTTTAAGGCCACATGTGTACCTTCTGCAGCAAGGTATTTTTAAATGAGGGGTGCCTGGGAAAGTGCTAAGAACTGTAATCATTTTTGATTGAGAGGAATTGACAGAAAGGGGACACCACAGATCCTCTCTTGAGCAGGGTATTTTTGCAAAAATAACCTGTGTCGTGGGTTTAAAGAGAGCTGTGCATGATAGCAAAATGTCTTTTGTGTTTTGTTTTGTTTTTTAATGCATGTACAATATACTTAGGAAATACACTAGCAAACAGCTTTGCTGGGGCTTAGAATAGCTTTACAGTTGGACAACTTCCCCAGTAGTATCATGTGCCCACAGAAGGCAGTGAGGCATGTGGGTATCACCTCCTCTTGCACAAGGCAATTCCAAAGGGGACCGGGTTTTTACTGGGGAATTATAAGTCACAAAGGGAGGGGAGAGCCTGATAATTATTAATGGTGAGTCAGTCACTGTGTGCACACAGCTACTGAAAGGTAGTTTTCTATGAGATTTCTTTTTTTTTCTTATTGAACCTCTTCATTATAAATATATGTCCAGAACTGTTTTGAATATAAACTAGCAGTATCATTTAAAAGCATTTTCGTTTTCTGAATGTAATTAAACTGGTTTCCGAGCTTCCCTGCTTGACAGCATTGACAGTGGGACTGTTGCTGGACAGACGAAAAGGAGAAAAGTGGGGTAAGGATCTTCCAGGCACCCAGTGTAGGGCTTTACAGTGTTTCTGAAACTGAGACTTGCAGAGATGTTGCTCTCCTTTATCTGCTCTTGGATTGCTGAAAGGCCACAGCTCCCGGCGCTGCTCCGTGTGCTGGTGCGGGGTCTCCAGGAAGGGACTGGCGTGGCTGGCAGCAGGACTCAGCAGCTCCCTGCTCTTCTCCTGAAACAAGGTCGCCACCAAAGCACTGCGAGCATCAAGTAATACAGTGCAGAATGGCATAGGTTACTATGTGTATGGTCAAATAGTTGCAGTGATATCTATACCATACTCTCACAAGAAATGTGATAGGAAGCTGGAGCGGTTTTTTTCAAAGAAATGACGCTATGCTTCTTTTTTGTATAGTTTGTTTTGGTTTGTTTATTTTTGCTTTCAAATGTGGTCAAAAGTACACGGGAAACCTGACTTTGTTAGTTCTGTTACAATATTGCGTGTTGGGGTATTTAGAGTATTGGATATTTTTTTTTCTTTATTTTAGATCCACTGATACCCTTGCACCAACTTAAGTGTTAACATTGGCAGATCACTTAGGATGGCAGTAACGGACAAGGCATATCTTTCAAGGGCTTTTTTGTGTTTTTAGTGTGATGCGTCTGCATTTAAGAGCAGTAATTTCACCATATGAATGACTTAGATGTTGTCCAGTGGTCTATTCCAAAATGAGTCGTTTTATCTGTGATGAAATGATGCTTCCCTGGAACGAGAGCTGGCTCATTTCCATTTCCCTGTCGTCCTTCAAGTGCTTGGTTTTCATGCTGAGTAACCTGCTGCACGCTTTTCCCGTGGCTCCAACGCCCAGATTCATCAGCTCTCAAGACAGTTTTTTGGTCTCAATTTGCTACCAGCTACTGAAATAGTTTCCGGTGGTTCAGTGTGAATTCTGGCTTCTAGATTTCCCATTATATAAAGCCATAGTTCCTAAGAGACCTAATAGTTTTCGTCACATTGTGTCCTGTCCCTATAAGCCTTTTTCACCCCATATGCTCACCAGGGAAGTACTTAACCACCTGGATTATCCAAGTATTCCCGCAAAGTTAACCACCCCAAACAGCCTTTGTAGACACATTTTTGAAATGGTCAGTACAGAAGATTGAATGTTTTTGTGGATGTTTTGCATGGTGTTACAGAGCTAAAGCTAAAACCACTGAGCTTAAAAAGATGCAGCAATCCTTTTAATTCTTTTTTTTTTTTTCCTTTGTAGTGCAATTTTCCAGAGAACCAGGATGGCTAGAAGGCACGCTGAATGGCAAGAGAGGACTTATTCCACAAAATTATGTTCAGTTTTTATAGCTCTGTGCATTGAACGCCAAGAAGGTGTACATGGTATCCATGGATTTTTGTTATAGTCACTTCTCTCTGCTCCTGTGACTGTCTTTAATCAACAAAGAGCCTGATTATGGGTTGAAGATCCTAATCTGTATAAAGACATTAAGTGTTGCCAAATATGAATTACAAATAGAAGCTTCTTTAAGGGAGTTTGGATTGGGTGGAGACAAGAATGTGGGATGGGGAATAGTTTAAGTTTTTAAGAGTTTTTCAGTTGTAAAGAACAACTGTGGTACATTTGTTTGGAAGGTAATTAGCATTTTCAGACAAGCATCTAGTTGGTCCATGACTCAAATAGCAGTGGAAGAAAAAATTTTAAAAACTTAGTGTCCTGGAGATTACGCATCTGTGTCCAGTGTTAACAGAATATTATTTGGTTTTGGAAAATATTGTTAGATTAAAAAAAAATAGCTATTATACTGATGATAAAATTTTGTTTCAAAATGGAAAAGACAATATGGAACAGACATATCAATAAGTAAAATAAGAGGTTTGGAGACATGACATTTCTCAAATGTCTTGTGTGTGTGGCTTCATTTGTACTGTTTTATAAAGATAAGATACGTGAACTTTTATTACAGGCTCCTATATGTCATGGTTCCTTTGCTACTCAACATTACCACTGTAAGTGAAATAAAATGTTATTTGTTATTTACCATAAGTGCTCCTTACAGTGGGGAGTATCTTGCTGTGGTCTCTAAGGTACCGTATGGAGTGATTACGGGCAGTGGATGCAGAGCGGGTCCCAACAGGCTCCATAGGGGCTGGGGACCTCCCCTGGGCCCTCACGTTTTGTCAGTTCTCTCTGTCTGGCTGCTGCCCCTTGAATGTCCCTTTCTCCTCTCCCATGCCCACAACCCCTCATCAGGGCCCCCCAAGCGGCTGCGCTGCCGTCTCAGAGGGGCAGCAGCTCTCCGGGTCACGAGGAAGCCTCCGCGGCTTGGGGGTATTTAAATCTGCGCCTGTGAGAAAATGCACGCCGTTTATCGTGAATTCTTTTTTTTTTCTTTGCCTTTAAATAAGATCCTCTGGGAGGCAGGGGAGGGGAGACAGGAAAATATGACAGGATGACATGTTAACACAGGCTCACTTACTGCTAAATTGCACTCCGCAGAGGTGCTGCAGATAGACTTAGCTTGCACGTTTTTCTAACTAAAGTGATTAGTAAGCCAGGCAATGGTTAATGGTGCCTTAAGGTGGGGTGTTTGTTCCCTTAGGCCTGAACTCTGTCCTGTAATTTTGTTCCCAGGCTGCAGAGCCCGCTGGGCGCGCGCGGAGCTTCCTCCCGGCGCCGCGGGCCGAGGCCGGCGGGCGCGGGGCACCCCGCTCCGCTCTCCCTGCGACCAGGCGCCCGGAAAGCGCCCGGGGCAGTCGGGCCTTGCCGTGAGCCCGGCAGGCCGGCGTCTCCCCCCCGTTAGCAAAGCTGCAGCCACTTGAAGCTTTTTAAGTCACTTGGGCTTGTTTTTTTCTTGAAAACATGCAGTGTGTGTTCATTATGGTCTGGCTGCTGCCTCCCAAATGTTATTTTCAGCTTTGGAGCTGTTTCACTTGCAACATATTTTCTCTTTTCTTTTTTTAAGGGAAGTGGTTTAAAAATGCAGATACACAGAGAAGGAGTAAGAGACATTTTTTTTTCTTTTCCAGTTGCTCATCAATGCAGTCCTGTGACCCTGTTTGCCTTTAGGTGAGCTGTTTTGAGATTCCTGTTACTTCTGGAGCCATGACAGAATGAAACTCCTCTTCTGAGAACTGAAACACTGAGCAGGGGTAATACTGATTCAAACTTTCTCACGTCCCAGATTTTGTCTAAAAGCAGTGGTGCAAGCTGAGCCAGATCTGATCTGGCTTTCAGGCTAACCACACTGCCTCTCAGGAATTCAGCTGTGGGAGCTGCTACCTGACATAAGGTTTTCCATAGCAGCCTGGCCCTATTCATCCTGGTGTGAGTACAGACTTGCACAGCAGAGTGGCCTTGCCCCAGCTCCTTCTTTCTTCTCACTGTCAACAGTTCTATAAGTGATGCCCTTGCACTTGAACATCAAAATTAAATGATGCTAAAAGATTTTTTTTTTTTTTAAAGACGTCCCTTCCACCTCCCTGTCCGTCTCAGTCCTTGGACACTCTTGTTCTATCTTCTGCTGTTGGGCCTTGGTGCTTGTCTCTCTTTCTTGTCTCGCTTTCCTGTGATTTGGTACATTTGGGAAGACAAAATAAGGCAATGTTAACTTGAAAGAGGTAGGATAGTAATCAGTTACAGAGAAAGCCAGCTAAGAGGTGTGTGGTTTTGTCTGTTTTTTTTTTTTTTTTCCTCTCCTCCTCCTCATCTCACTCGGTGGTGTCTGGTCTCACTCTGTCCTCCCAGGGAGCTCCTGCCTGTGGCCCTGTTGTTGCTTCCCAACTGTAGGTGCAGCTGAACCACGTCCTATTCTGCTCCCCATGCCAGGGCTGGTCACTGGGCACCCCCTCAGCCTGGGGCTCTCGTGAGCACTGGCCCCGCAGCGACTGGACAGGCCGGACGAGCAGAGCCTCCTGCCAGAGCTGGAGCAGGAGGGAGGTGCTGTGTGTGTGTCGGGCACCGGCTGGCGCCCGGCTCCGCTCCCTCCTTCCCCAGGGGCTGCTGGAGGCTGCCATGTGCTGGTGCCGCCGCCGAGGAGGGGCCTCCCTGTTCCGCGGGGCCCCGTACGGGAAGCGCCCGCCGCGTTGCCCTCAGCCCCTGTGCTCAGGGGAGCTCCTGCAGCCACAGGGTGCCCAGGGCCCCGCCGCGCTGGCCTTGCTCCCTTAGCCCATCGCACAGCTCTTACCTGCTTCCCAGCTGAAGAAGTCCATCCCTCGGTGGCAGAGGACACGGTAAGCTGCACGTGCACCAGTGGTAAGCAGGTTATTACTGAGAGTTGTCTTTGAGGTGTCACCTTTTAGGTTTTGGATATAGTTTTCTGCATAGGCGTTCAATAGTGTGCCCTGTTCTGTACTTGCAGTAGTGACCAGTTAAGCACCAAATAAACTTCATCTTATTGGTATCTGCAATTAAAACATTCTTTTTAAAGTAAAATATGGCATGTTTTAATAACAATAGCAAAATGTTTAAAATGGAAGGGCATTTTTACTATTTTCTGTCTTGCTGTGTACATGATGCAGACCTCCATTCGGAGGAGAAACCTGCACCAAAGCAGCTGGAGGTCAGGGTACAGCTTCCACGCTGAGTTCAAGCTGCTGGTCAGAGCAGTTGCTGCGGGAGCCAGGGCCATCCAAGTGCAGACCCAACCTGCCCGGCAAGAGCTGCCCTTGTTCTAACTGACCTTCTTAGTACAGTGGAAAACGTCCTGGCTCAGCAAAGGCAGCTAGAGCTGCTACCCTGGGAAGTCTAGTGCGTGGCACAGGGACAGTCCGTGTTTCCACGAGAGCCTCTGACCTTGCTCCGTAGGTATCGCAGCGCTAGATGACGTGGAGCTGGAAGCCTTGTCTGGGTACCGAAGACTGATGTTTGCTTCCTCTCCGTGTCCAGGAGGGTGTCGGGAGCGCGCGTGCCCCTGCGTGCCCGTGTTGGCGCTTCGCTTCGCTGGAAAGCAGCTGGCAGAGCAGGTGGAGGCAGCGCTCGGAGCCCGGCGGCCGCGCGGCGCTGAGGGCCGGCGAAGGGGCTCCCAGCCCCCAGGAGCGGCCTGAGAAGGCAGCGCGCGTTGCACGATGCAGGAAGAGGTCTGATTGTTAGGATTTTTATGTTGTCCAATATTGTTTGGAAGGGTAGAGAAGCTTACTGCTAAGGAAAGCACTGCAGCAGCAGCTAGCTGAGATGATTGAAGTGCAAGAAATACTTGCAATCAAACCAGTTTAATTCATGTATATTTGTACAAGTTATATAAAAAAAATAGGTACTTGCAGACATTAACATAAAGACCAAACAATATTTTCTATTTATTTAAAAAGCTTTAAACATACAGAAGCAAACCCCTAATTATAAATGCATCATTATGCATAGATTTTACTGTTTACACCATACTGCTGGCTGCTTTTATTTTTCATCCAGGAATCTAGTTAAACTCCAAGAATTCTTAAACATTCCTCTGAGCTTCCTGGCCTCAGAACTGCTGTCTGTTTTATCAAGTCATTGACCTCCAGCTGAAAACATTGCTCTAAAAAAAGGAAAAGTCAAATCTTTAATAAACAATTAAAAGTGCATTAATTGTAGATTTTTTTTAATTTCATAAATGTTTAAACAAGTCAGTGAAAAACACCACCCTGTGAATTAGCTTTTTGCATTATTGATTGTAAAGTATCTTTTTAATAAGATTTTGATATTGCAAACTTTTAGTCTTTCTATTTTATTTTGTGCAACTGTTCAGCTGCACAGTGTGTAGTATTCCTGAAATACCCACTGCAGTACATTAACACTATTTTACATTTTTAACTGTGTATACAATGCTCTTGCTGTATATCCCCATTCCTTCTTACAACAAAATAATTTTTCTTAATGAACAGAAGCCCACTTTTAGAAGATGTTTTTAGTTTGTCTTGTATTTTGCAGGAGACAAATGCCTATTTCATTCTAAACAAATTCAAAATAATGCAACTTTTGGTAGCTAAAAGCCTAGTCTTTTTTTTTTTTTTTCTTCTGTACAGATTTAGATAAAAAAGTGATGGCTATTCTGCTTAAGTGTCCTGGATAAGAGAACACGGCCTCTTACAACATCTATATCCAATTTTATCTATTTCTTCAATATCTCTAACAAAAAATAGTAATCAATGAATGGTTTCATAAACAACAGGTGATTAAAGTAAAGGATTTATTATAATTCGCTTACAGTTGTTTGCAAAGACAGACATACGTTTTTGCATAAAGATATAAATTGCTTTTTAAAACTAATTTAGTGTGTTTAATTATATGAAGTTTCTGTGAATTATGAATTGTACCAAACCAAGATTAAAAGTAATAAGGTACAAAAATAAGAGCAAACAGACAACAATTTGGACTGGGACAGGCATTTAACAGTGAGGTGTAGAATATGGCTTTGCTATTTTAATCAAGCAAAGTTACTTTGAGACAGAAAAGGAGGCAGTAACTTTGTTAATATAAAAAGCTGCTGCAGACTGTATTCACCCAGAATCTGGCTTTGAAATTTCCTATTTTAGACTTGAAACAGAAAAGGTAAATGAAAGGATGGATGTCTGACTATTCCTGTAAACAACCAGTCTGCATGCAGTGGATCTCATGTTGGAAGTTTGGCTTTCATATTGCTGTGCAGGTCAGTATTTAAAGATCTGCCTATGAATTAGACTTCCAAAATGCAAATAATATATGTATGTATATATTTATATATATAAAAAAACCTCTCTGAATACAGTCTTTACAGATTACTCATTGCATAAGGCAGGTGTCATTTAAAAAGACAAGTAGCACTGACTGTCTTGGGTGCACCAAACTGCACTTTGAAATTCTCAATCAGAAGGGTACATAATTTCCATTAGACCACCATGAAAAAGAAATGCTACATTCAGACCAGTCAAGGGACAACTCTAGCCCCTAAATATCAGTGTCACCTACACAGAACACTAGGGATTAGGATTCTGAAAAACTATCCTATTTAAATCAGCACATGGTAGCAACAGTGAGCCTCAGAGAAGTTCACCTGGCCTCTATTCTACTCCAAAAATCTGTATTTGCTTATAAATTGTGAAATAGTGAAAATCACCTCAAAAAGCTTTTCGTTGCAGTTTACTCCAGAGAAAACATTTTTGAGACAAAACTAGACAGCTGAGTTGAACTCGTAGCGTTAACAAGTGTCTTTCCAGACATATTGTGGTTATTACAAAAATTCTTACAAAACCAAACATGTTTTATCACTAAAAATTCAACTCAGCTCATCTGCCCTTATCCGTAGCTTCCCATCCTCCTCCTCCTCAGCGCCCGCCCGTCCCGCACACTTTCTGCCGTGATCTGCATGTTCCTTTCAGCATTATCAGAAATGGCCAACCTGAAATCATGATCTGACCTTTTAGGAGCTTGTAGGTATTCAGTAATCAAAGGAGAAACAAACAATTTGGGAAACCTTGATAAAAAAAGAAAAATCATTCAACATCTATTCACCCTTACTCCCCTGAGAGAGAGCGCGAGAGGGAACCCAGGGCAAGAACTGGCTGTATCGTGAAGCTGGCAAAAGCTCTGGGGAGACTGTAGTTTGTCTTGTTAAATGAAACCTCCGTAAAGTGGCAAACTCAACAGCAGGTAGGTTCCTACAGAAATATGAAGCAGGTTTTCTAAGATGGGCTCGAGTCATGTACACTTGCAAGCGAGAGACAAAAGGAAGAGAAATAGAGCGGAAAACAGAAAGGCTTAAATACAACAGAAAAAGGTTAGGTGTGGTTATTTACAACAGACACTGTAGGATGGTAAATTAGATATGATGCTAAAAAAGGCACAGCTTTCCCTTTCTTAAATACACTGTAAACGGTTCATTATGCATGCAGAACATTTCACTTTACAAAAAAATTACCTTGTTTGTTTAGACAAAGATAGTACTTAAATAGTCTCCAGCAAAATAGAGTTCTTTCAAAAATACTTTCCCATTCATCCTATTAACCATTAAAGATTTTTGTCTCATTTACAAAAGTTCCTTACACCTTATTTCAGGTCCTTCACAATTTATACATACAGCAATGTACAGTACAGCAAAAGACTGCAAAAAATTATTTGTAAAGCCAGCACAATAGATACTATAAATTGATACCAGGGCATTTGTTTTCATATCTTATCCTCCTTAATTAAATAGTAAATGGACACTTAACACAGTGTATATCATCAGCTATGATGGGATAAAATGGGATAACAAATGCCACAGGTGGGGAGAGCAGAGTATTCCACACCAAATGTTCTGTTATTACTTTACACATTAGGGTTTTGTGTATGTGTATGTGTGTGTGTGTGTGTGTGTACGTATGTATATATAGTTTTGTTTGTTTTTCTTTTTTACAAGAAAAGAATATTAATGCCCCATATTGACTTTACGTTTTTATGTGCAAACCAAGGGTAAGCTTTAAAAAGTTCTCATTAGTTCTTGAACCCTTTTAAAACAAGCAAACAATACCAGAAACTACATGGCATATTTAAAACTCCGTCTGTTAAAATATCAAAATCAAAGAGTTATTGACTAGATATGGCTTTTCATCCGAGGAGCAGGAACATTTTTCTAAATGTTTTAGGGTAAGGGGTAATTTCCAAACATCTAGGTCTTGCCAAATCCAGGTCAACTGTTCTCCATTCCCCAAACTCTTCGCTTGATTTTAGACTATTTTCTCTTGATTTTAGACGGCTGAACAAGTGTAAATAGCATGTTTAAAATATGGTTTCTTGGGTCCTTCATGGGTGTGGAATAACACAGGGAAACTTAAGGCAAAGTTCTTCCATTTAAGACATTTTCTATCACTTCCTGTGAAAGTACAGGGGCTTGGCATTTCCAGATTCCACCTTTGGTAGCTGGTCACTGATGATTTCCACCAGCATGGCTGGAAACTCTACTTTCAGTGCCTGAGACTCTCGGAAGGTGTAGAAACAGAATTCCAACAAGTCACTAACCAGCTGCAATACAAAAAGAAAGAGAGATTAGGAAAAATGCACAGGACTCTGCATGCCATGGCTTACAATAAAATCCAGACCAGTGTGACGTGCTGTACCATACTGCAATAATGGATAGTGCTAAGCAGTGGGGTCTAACTTAGCAGTCCATTTGCAAGTGTTGAAATCAGAGCTCAAACCCAGATCCCCAAGTGCTACGGCACCAGTTAAGATTCAGATATTGAGAAGAAACCGAGACATCACAGATGCAGCGTTTCAGCATAAGTAAGTGCTCTTCCTTTCACTAGGTCAACGGGCCACCATGAAAAGTAGAGGCCAAGTCTGGCACATAAAGCCTTCTGCCCAGAGGAACGTGCCCTGCCATAGGCTGTTATGGGGCTGCTGTCAGCAGGACACACTGCTAGAGCAGAGCGGATGGGTAACTTCAGTGCACGGCCCAGAGGCCGCCCTTGAACAGGCCGGAGCAGCGACCGGGCTGGGCTGAGCAGAGCGGTGGAGGCCACCCAGCAGCACCGCGGGGGCTAGAGCAGCCCAGCGGGCAAACGTGCTCATGGGGTAAACAGTAACTGCACCAGGCAGCGATGAAGGCTTTTTAGAAACGTGCACACACGTGTGTGCGCACACACTCACATGCACGTGCCTTCCTGCCGTTGCTCCTCTCTTTCTGAGGACCACTCACGTTCCCTCTCAGGCTACGAAGTACAATGCTGAGCTGAAGCCTGGGCTATGATATTATATAGAGCTGTATTTAACAACAGCAATTTCTGCATCGTCCTTCAGTGTCAGAGAAGGAAAGGTCATCACCGCACCCCAGAGGGTCCCGTCAGCAGAACCAGGAGCAGCGTTTACCCGGGGCGGCCCCTCCGGCTGGCGCCCGGAGCGGCGACGCAGCAAACCCTGCTCTGTAACGCAGGGAGGGCCTCGCACCACGCGGGCCTGGGCAGGGAGGGCCCTCCTGCTGCCATCCGCTTTTTGGCATGTGCGGGAAGAAATACGCTATATAGCTTCAAAGCACCAATAAACTTACTCCAACTAACCTCCACCTTGTCTCAAATTTTGTTATGCCAATTGCAGTTTTTATAGGTTACATATCCATATGTAATGGGAAGCTCACTGCCACTACAAGAAATAATCATTAATTTTGTTTTTTTGTTGTGTTTGTTTGGGTTTCTTTTGGAGCATTTTAATTTTTTTCTTCTGTCTGCTGCTACCTTCTTCATGCAAAAATCACAAACTGCAGCTTCTCTGCTGTAAAACAAACACTGCAAGCACAGGAAAAATGTGAAGGCCGAAAGACCTCATTCAGCCTCCCTGCTCAGGGAATTATTTCTTCTATTTTAATGATTAAAAACATGACAGAGCAATCTCACAGCTCAACCCACTCCTGTGCAAGCCCTTGCTGTGTTTGTTTTACATAGTGCTTTATAACAATCAAGAAATACCTGTTTCTGATCTTGAATAAGGCACCGTCACTTCAGAAACAGTTTTTGTGTGGTGTGACCTATAGGCTGCTGCAGCCAGGGCAATCGCTCCTGTACAAACACACCGAGGCATTCAAGAAGGAAGGAACAAGACGCCAACCGCCAAGGTCCTGCCTTGGGCTACTCCACCGAAGAAATACTAGAGCCTATTCAGAAAGTCACAACTTACACCCTGATAAATTTTGCTACTTTCTGTCCATAGAGAGCACTTAAACCACTGCTACCCATGTAGTTTTAGCAAACACCAGACTGTTGTATCAATTCTTAAATGAGCGTTGAAGTCCCTACCAGAGCTCCAGCTAAAGTTACTGTAGGAAAAGTCTCTCTGCAAGGCTGGAACAAAAGTGCGAGATCCAGACAACCTTCTTGCCTAACAGATTATTTACTGTCAGTATTTTCTCAAGCGTTCTTGAAAAATCCATCAGGAATTTATAAATGAGGTGCTGGGCTCACCGGAGCACAGGCCCAGGTTGCTGCTGCGCCTCCGTTCCTGATGATGCAGCACGTCCCCAGGCAGTGCTCATTAATTACACAGCGAGGCTGCATTAGGAGAGGCACAATTTTGTTTTTAAGGGGAAAAAAATGCTGATGTTCATTCCAAATGCAAACGGGCAGGGAAGGGAGCCGCTGCCGCTCACCTCCACACAGAGCGTGTCCCAGACACGCAGGGACGAGCGAAGGCGACTCCTGCTACCCGTCCCCTGCGCGCTCTCCACCCCCTCGGCCAGCACCAACCCAGGCCTCCGCTCACCGTGGCGCCGGGCGGGCGCGAGGGGCCTGTTGCCCCCGCGGGCCTTGCTGCCCCCCCGGGCCTTGCTGCCCCCCCGGGCCTTGCCCCCCCCACGGGCCTTGCTGCCCCCGCGGGCCTTGCCACGCTGGGTCACCCGGCACGTAGAAGTACCTGCAGCCTCCTAGAACGTGACTTTGGAGCCTTAACAAAAACGTATTTTACACCTACCCAGCCCTCTCAAGTGCTTGGTCCTGTATGACATGACCGTCTTATCTATGGTAGCTATCATTTGTGTTACTTTTCCTTAAGCAGTTACCGCTTTGAATGTACTTGGCACTACTCTAGCCAAACAGCAGCAACAACCCCGAGTGAAGCACGCCGTACGTTGAAGGAGGGTGGCAGGACTGTGGTCACAAACTGCTGAACTGCAGCCTTACCAGAAGTTTTTTTTTTTTTTTTTTTGGTACAGCAACAGCATTTTTTGCTACAGTTTTGATTTACAACAAATAAACAAGTGTCAGCAAGTGAAGGATCTGCTTGCTTTCATGATACGTGGCCTCTATCCTCACAGCCACAGCAGCTGATGCACCAGAGGCTGCAAATGCTCCCTAAGTGAGAGAGCTAACGTGAGCTATCTGGCACCTCTACGTTTGGCTTACCATCTTTCTGTATCAAATATACTGCTGCTTTTTCTTCTTCAAAGGACTGTAAAATTGCACTAAGAATTCATACCCACGTTTTTCTTACAGTCCTTCCCCTCTGCTTTTGGGAGGTTCTACTGGAAATGCTGAGAGCATCTTTGATACAGCAGTGCGAAAGGCAACGCTGTAATTCAGCGGGGCGACTGATAGCGCTGCTGTTTCTCAGGAGCGTGTCACAGGGCCCAGGAAGTTGCCGTTACCATCCCGGGTCGGTGCGGTGACGGAAACGCTCCGGAAGCTGCGCACCGGCACGCTGAGAGCACCGCGCTCCTTCGGGCCGTGCCGTCCGGGACAAGGGGGCTGCGCAAGGGCGGTAACTCCTGGCTTTGCACCCAGCAGGAGCAAAACTCCACAGCCTCCCGGGCAGGAAAACGCCACTAAATGAACTAGTATCAACTCTGCTACCAAGATCCGGACCCGAAGGGCTGAATCCTCACGTCTGTGTCGGCTGGACAGCAGCAGGACACGGCAGCCCTTCCGGAGGCAAATCCGGGCCCGCGCTGGCTACAGCCCTCGGCCACTGCAGGCCTCAGTTACTGCTCCCGGCCCTGCCCTGGCTGCGCTGGCGCCCACGCGCGCCGAGGGCTGCAGCGCTGAGCTGCACTTTCTCAATCCTTGTATCTGTATGATGTGCTAAGTGCTTCTGAGAAACAGCAGTATTGAACAATAACCCTGTTATTAGGGTGGGATTTCTATGAAATGGTTTTTTTCACCCCACTGTTCTTCAAAAACAGCTTCAGTGAAGTCCCCAAAGCGGACACAATTGTAATGACCCTCAAGTACTTGCAGTAGTTATGCAGCGAAACCAAAAATAGATTTGAGTTTGGGAATCTCACCATGCCCTTGAATGAATTTCAGAAACAGTAAAACCGCCTCATTTGCAAGAAGCAGATTTCTGTGCCAGCTCTGCTCTCCGACTGCACAACCTCTAGCAAACTCCGCCTGTGGTGTGGAAGGCTGCAGTGGCTTCTCTAACACGTACAGCAGCACTCTGCGATCCAGCCTACCGACACAGCGGTTAAGGCAACTCTTGTTGGGTAACCACACAGTGCTGGGCAATTTCTTGCCGTTATTAACTACACTTGGTGCCGACAAAGTCACAGCCTTCTCGCCCAAAGACGCCACTCCAGCAACCTCCCCCTTTCCCCATGGGGAGGCATCCTGCCCTCTTCCACTCATCGGCCGGTCGCGATGCGCGTGCCGACAGCCTCAGAGCTGCGCACGGGCACAGCCCGCACGACCCTTGCGCTGAGCCGGGCTCTGGGAGGGGACGAGCAGCAGGACTTCACTTCTTGCTTCCAGAAACCTGCATGTTTCAAAGTGAGCAGGAGCTGGCAAGGAGCAGGCACCAAGGCGAGCCAGCCTGCCTCCTTCTCCGGCGCAGCCAGCGGCCCCGCGTGCATTTGGGACCACTGCAATCTCCCACATTTCCCCCTTCGAGCAGTGGATACAAAGTTTTAGGATTGACAAGGGAAAACATTGCCAGAGGGGTCTTGCTACTCCATTACAACCTGTTTTCCTCTTCTCTCCTGGTCTGAGATGTAAATTGCTTATTGCTCTCAGGGTAAAATGTTCCACATTGAGGTGATTCATTCAGCCACTCTGATTCTCACAGGTACGTACGTACCCTGGTGTCCCGGGGGCTGATTTCTTCTTGAAATCTTGACCTCCTAACCCAAAGAGCAAAGCTTCTAATGAAACACGGAGGGCAGCCTGAGGAACGAAGCCTCTGAACGCACCCAGGTGCAGGGGTTGGGCACCCTAACCTAAACCGGACCCCTAACCCGGCTGAGCAGAACCTGCTGCTGCCCAGGCGGCTGTTACCGAATTAGGAGGTATTTCCCCCCCGTAAACACGTACAGAGAAACCACGGCACTCACAACCAGGCTCCTACTTCACAGCTCGGCAGGCCGTGGCGGGGCCGGGCCGGGCTCA